CCCCCCAGACCCACCGGGGGCTGGCGGACACGGGTCCTGATGAGGGAAGGGGAAGCATCGACCGGATCCGGCCGGTGCGTGGGCGGGTGGCACCGGGAAGGAGCGGCTCCTTGGTGTGACGCTCCTGGTGGGGGCCCGCGTGTGAAGCGTCGGCGTTCGTGGCTGTTGCTCGGGGGGAAGAACGTAGGGTGCGACGGCGTTCCTCGGCCTCAGACGGCGGGCTCCTGGGGTGCGAGCTGTGGGAGCGCTGAAGTGAGCTCGGCCGGGCAGAGGGGTGTCAACACCCCTCTGACTCGGGGGCCGAGCTCAGCGGGGAGAAGACCGACCGCCATTCCAGCACGGCGGGAATCCGGGCCGCCAGCGGGGCGCGCCTGGGGGAGCAGGGGCGACGTGGCGCTCTGCACAGCGAGGCCCGGGAGAAGGCGGGCGCGCCCGGGCCCCGGCCGTGCCCAGGCCGCGGGTGCTTCCTCAGTTGCCGCTCCGTGAAAAGACAAAACTGAATCCCTCTCTCTCTCCGCCAAAACAGTCGGTGCTTGTCGGGACCCCGAGCTGTGGCTCAGCCTGAGGAGAGCGCAGAGCCGTTAGCGGGCTTTCCGCCAAGGGCAGAGTTCCGCTGGTGTTTTCAGGGGACTGTCCCCGTTTAGGTCTGAATTCTCGTGTGTCTGAGTGTGTGTGTACAGGCAATCACAGCAACATCCTTTTTTTAAATTTTTACCTGTGCGTATCATCACAGAGTTGTCTAGCATATTTTCTAGGAAGTTTGTCTTGTAGGCAGAAGCAGGACTTGACCATTTTAGTTTACTGTTAAAGAAAAACAGATACGTAAGTGAGCAGCTAGGCTCTTAAGGCCACAGAACTGTTTTTGCATTGCCATTGTCATCCAGCGGAGAGATTCAGAGCCGGATTCCCGAGTGCTTCTAATGAAGGGTCACAGGTGGCTGTGAGCCCGACCTCACTCCAAACGTGCTTTCCTTGGAGTCATTATTGCTGTCAGTTAAGCAGATTTAGATAATAGGGAGAAGAGTAATCTAGTATTTTTAACGTTTGAATTCTGATACTCAGCATCTTGTTAAATCAAACTGCAACGTTGCTGAGTTTCCATCCTTGAAGCTACCTGGGAGGCTCAGAGCTGAGACGGGTAGATTATCTGGTGGAGCCTGGAGTCCAGCCTGACTCTAAGAAGTAGGTGGGATTCCTTTCCCAGTGGTGGTTCTCTAGTTAGCAAGAGGAGACGTAAGTGCATGAAATAGTTAAATAACAATATGGGGCATTCATTGTGTGGTTGGAATGAGTAAACGAGGAAAACAGATCCAAGAAGAGGGGATGAATGTGGCGTCAGGGGTGTGGGGGGGAAATTGGTGTGAGCTGGTGGGGCTTTTGGAGTAGATTTGACTTGAAGAATGGGTAGGCTGTGGGTTCCTTCTTTTCTTTGCTTTTTTATTAGCATACATTTATTAAGACCTCCCCTGTGCTGAGCAGTGGAGATATAAGGATGAGTAAGATACTTCCTCCCTGTAGGATTTTGTTAGAAAGGCATGTTGGAGGGAGAATGCAGCATAAACAAAGGCATGGAGACATGGTATCCTGTTCTCTTTCCCACTTCAGTCCATTTTCCACTGTTCCGTCAATTTTTTTTACTATAAAACACTTTTCACTCCTGAACCCCTGTAAGTTCTTTACAGATTAAAGTGCGAATTCCTTAGAATGCTCTTCGGAATCAAGCCCCAGCCTTCTTTCTTATCGCCCCCCAACCAGGGGCTCGACAGTCTAGTGGCAGTCGGCCGTAGCCCTTTCCTGAGCATGTTGTGCACTGCACACTTCTCTGCCTTTGCTCATGCTAGTCCTTCTGCCAAGAATTCCCTTTCCAGACTCCTCAAGGGCCGACTCACATAGGAAGCACCCCTGAGCTCCTCAGTCAAATCATTTGCTCCTCTGGGTTCAGAGCCCTGCTCTCACAGCTCTCTCAGAGCATCTGCTGCTCTGCATGATAGATGGTTGTGTGCACAGCTACTCTTCTAGGGGCAGGATAACTGAGAAATATGTTGGCTTGACAAGACCAAAGCTAATTCAAGCTGACTTAAGCAAAACAGAATTTGTTCACTCTATTAACTAAATATCCCTTGGAAGGCTAGCTGTGGGTTGAGTTTGGTTCAGGAATTATACACTGTTTCAAGGACCTTGCTCTGCCGTTTGTGGGCTGACTGACATGCTCTGCATGTGCCTCCACAGCTTTGGCCTTGTGACTCACCACATTTAGACCATCTCCTGAGAAAGAGGCATCAGCACACTTAGACCATCTCAGGAGAGAAGGATCATCTCCTACTCGGACCACTGTAGGCGAGAGGGGTCACTGTGACATTTAGACCGTCATAGGAGAGAGGAGTCGTCTCCTTCTAAAACCGTTGTAGGGTAGAGGGGTCATCTCCACTTAGGCCATCTCCTTAGGCCATTACAGGAGACAGGGGTCTTCTCCCAGTTGGACCATCATGGGAGAGAGGAGTCACCAAGACATTAGACCATCTCAGGAGAGTGGGACTCTTCCAGTCACTCCTATATTGTCCTTGGTTTTGCTTGTTCTCGCTTGACCTGATGGGTCATGTGTGTATACTTGAACCAGTTCTCTGACCAAGGAATGGAATGGGCTAACTGGCTTAGGCCTAGGCCACAAATCCTGGGGTCAGGGAAGGATGATTTCCTCTGAACAGAATTTGGGTGCTGCTTCAGAAGGCAGGGGAATGGATGCCAGTCAACCAAAACAACAAATGCCGACAGCGTGGACTTGAGCTCCTTGGGCATGGGGGCTGCAGCTTATACTTCCTTGTGGCTTCTGTACCTACAATATGAGAGGCAGATGTTCAATAAATAAATCAACACTTGAATGACTTGTTTGGGTATTTAGTGATATTCATCTTTTTTTCTAATTATAAAGGGTATATATGCTCATTTTAGAATATTAAAAAATATTAGAATAGTATAAAGAAAAAATTAAAATCACTTGTAATCTGACCACCCGGATATAACACTGTTCAAATTTTAGAGTGTTGCCCTTCTGCAAAGGGTCATACCGTAAATGGTAGAGTGTCATTTGTTTTTTAACTTTTGCATTTTCTTCTACTTTGTCATTAATACATCTCTGAAAATCAGTTTTCTCAACGGCTGCATGATAACTGGCAAGGAATATATATGTATCTTGCCCCTATTTTGGGCCACCTAGCTTGGTGGATAGTTTTCTTATCAGTGAGGGAATGATCTGACAAGGGGGTAGAAAGAATAAGGGAGCGTCAGCTTGTGGAGAGCCGGAAAGAGTGCATTCTCCTTCAGTAACTAGCAGTCCCGGGGGCTTGTGGGCTATGAATGGCAAGATGGAGTGGAACGGCAGAACGTTACAAATGGAAGGGACCACGGCCTCATTTAGAAACTCTTAGTATTTCAGATAGATCAGGAGACTCATGTAGAATGGATTTGGAAAACAAAGGAGAGGGGAAAGAAAATTAGAGGCTGGAACGCCAGGTGGAAAAGAAGGATAGTCTGTCCGACGACTACCCTTCTTTCTATCTTCCCACCGCTTCTCCTTCCAGCTGCAATTGCTGTGACCTTCACAGCCCGACTTCCTAGAAACTTCTGAGAAAGTGTCTGTACTGATTAGGGCATTGACCCGCATCCGGAGTTGAATATAAACCCCTCTGTCTGGTGAGGAAAACTGCCATGATTTGGTTGCTTGGTGTCAGAACCTCCCCAGGAGGAGTGGCAGCAACTTGTCCTGGACACCGGCCCTGCCGTGCTGACCCGCAAGGCCTGTGAGCTGCTCCCTGCACCTGGATCTCAAGGCTTCATCTTTTTGTTATGCTGTCTCATCTTAAGGACTGGCCTCAGTCCTTCCACTTCCTCCCTTGGCCTTGTGGCCACACCACCACTGACCCTACTGATCCCATCTTTCTGTTTTGTGGGTTACCGGGCTTACACCCACTGTTCGCCCCATTGGCTACACAGGCCCGGATCCTGTCATCATGTTTTGGCCTGTTCTTCCTCCTGAATCTCAGGGACACAGCTGGTGTCTATTGTTCCCTCTGATCTCTAGGCAGGGTGGGGAGAGATTTTTCTCCTTCCCCAGTGAAAATGGTTCAGATTGACAGGGCTTGTTAGCTCTAAGCAGTGAAGAGAGGCATCAATACAGTTTGAAATGAAAAACTGGAGACAAGTTGGAGCTATTGAAATAGAACAGTTTTTTTTTTGGAAGAGAGTAGGGAGATTTTCATTATCTCTACAATTGGAGGCAGTAATAGTGTGAATAATCCGCTGCAATGGGCAAGTATTGAACATCCAGGTTGAATTAATGAGATTTAAAGGTGAGCCTCCCAATCAGTACCCTTAACTATAGTGTGATTAAAAAGAAGTTCAAGCTTCCCTCTCATAAATGTGTGCGAGAATAGTGAGATGTGGCCTAAAGTGCTTTGTGAACTTGAAAGTCTCTCACAAATGTAAGTTTTTATTTAAGGGTATTGAAACTGTATTGTCAAGGAAACAGCTTTCCTTTCTCTATTTTGTTGCAAGAATATAGAACGTTAGCCAGTTATAACTGGATTGGATGGGCATTCTGGTTCAGGTTAGGAATTTAACTATTAATTCTGTGTGTCTATAGGGAAATACATCCTAATTTTTAACCTTCCCCAGGGAAGTCTCTGGGGCTGTCAAGGGAGAAGGGTTTTTAAGTATGGATGATTTGCATGCAGAGAATTGAGAATTGATTAATGTATAATTATAGGAATTTCTGGGGAAAAAAGAAACTAACAGTGAAATTATGTACAGATCCTCATTCTTTTCGTATTTATTTTTAACTTTGTAATTTTCCTTTTGCAGAAACCCTGGGTGGTGTGGATACCGTTGTTAAGATCCCCCCACACTTGCTGAGGTAAGGAGACAAGTTGTTTAATACAGTGGAAGTGAAAATTGCCGGCTGTGTTTTCCTGAAAGCCTGGATGACCTCGTTGGTTTATAGCATTTTACTGTGAAGGACGGCTTTTTTGCATCCATGAACTGGGGTATTTCATGAGGTTAGCATGATGGGAACCTGATTTCCACCTGTTTTTGGAGAGAGTGAAGTCAGTGATCCAAAGGAAACAGCTGTAGGAGTCAGGGGTGAAAGGATAAAATTAGTCAAGTTGACAAATGACCATAACCTAAGTGAAGATGTGGCCAGTGGACAAGATCTTCCACTGCAGATTGGGAAATGGCACCCCCGCTAGGGGGATGCAGCCCTACGCCATGTGGGCTGGACGTAAGCTCTTACTGGCCCCTTGGCAGGACACCATCTCACAGCTCTGCAGCCACATGCAGCAGCCCTGAGACAGTGAACCAGTTTCCCCACCTTCCTCACCTGTCCCCATCCTTCTCTTCCCCCTCATCCTGAGAGAAATACATGCCCTTTGTGGAAAATTTGGAAGGAACAAATAAGAAAGTATTCCATAATGACACCACCTAGGGATAACCACTGAAAACAGTTTAATAGATTTTCTTAACAGATTTTTTCCACACACATATGTATTTACAAATTAATATGAAATTTTATTTACAAGTTTGTTTTCTGCTTTTGTTTTAGTCAACACCATATGAAGAACATATTCCAATGTCAATATATGTTCTTCAAATTAAAATATTGCATAGTCTTCTGTTATACAGCTGCTATAATATAATTTAGTAGTTTTCTTATTATTATCTGGATTATCTCTAGATTTTTCTTTGAGATAATTAAAAATTTTGAACTTACAGTCTTTTGTTGAATATAGTGTCTATACTGTCAGGACACTATGATTTATTAGGTATTTTTTCTCTTTTCAAGTAGATTGGACAAGAATTGTGTTTCTGTCTTTTTAAAAAATTTATTCTGGAGCCGGCCCAGTGGCCTAGAGGTTAAGTTCGTGCGCTCTGCTTCGGTGGCCCAGGGCTCGCAGGTTTGGCTCCCAGGTGCCCACCAACACACCGCTTGTCAAGCCATGCTGTGACAGCATCCCATATAAAATAGAGGAAGATGGGCACAGATGTTAGCCCAGGGCCAATCTTCCTCAGCAAAAAGAGGAGGATTGGCAACGAATCTTAGCTCAGGGCTAATCTTCCTCACACACACAAAAAAGAAAAATAAAAAATTTATTCCTTTTCGTGTAGTATCTGCTACAGGCTGATATATTGAGGGGAATTCATGTATTAATCAAACCAAGTGTACTTTTGTATGTGTAATGCTCCTAAATGGACAGAATGTCTGGCAGCAGCGTTGTTGCCTAGAGGAGGGGAGTTCAGCAGGGGAGATGGGAAGACTCCAAGAGGTATGAAGGCATGGGTGGATCAAGGGAGACCATTTCCTGGTCCCTGACTTCCTGGTGCCCTTCCTAAGACTGGTTTGCTTCAAAACTAGTTTGCTATGTCTGCTTTTCCATCTCACCTTTTACAGTCAAAGGAAGAGCACGGCTGTTGCCCGTCCCATCCTGAATCTGACTGTGGTGTGTGGTCCTAGGTGCAAAAATCTCTTCCCACCAACAAAAGCCTGTGAAAATGTTAGTGTCTGGGTTGGTAAAGGGAGTGAATATAATGACCAGGGCACACATCTTTCTGCAGGTTAGTTTTTACTTCTTGGCTTTCAGCAAAATTGAAGGAGGACTTAATCTGGTTATAAGATAATAGACAAAAATGTTTTTGATAAGTCTTTATTCTTTTCTTATTTATGTAAAAGTTTCTTACTGCTTATATCTATGAAAATGAAAAAAAAAAAGGGTATGGAATTGATGTTAAACCCCACCTTGTCATAGCAATAGGGAATACTCATCCATAGGTGTATGAACTAATTGAGAAAAATAAATAAGCCCTATCCATTTCTTTAGAAATGCATTTCTAGTAAAATTATACTTTCCATGTTAACTATATTAACATTCTTATAAGTAATTATTAATGTTGTTTGGATCACTTGTGTGCATTAGTAATGATAGCTCAAACCAGAAGAAAATGGAACACATTTAAGCCTTATGGCCACAGGAAATTAAAAAAAAAAAAAACTTTATACACATTTTTGTTACAGAGAAATATACTAGGGAGATTAATAAAAGCCTCTCAAGTGTTAAAACATATTATATTGAGGGAAAATTCTCTGGGGGAAGTGGAATGGAAATATGAGTTCAAGGAGAAAAGAGAACAATGCAGCCTTTTTTACTGTTAAAGGGGAATTTGTTCATGTATTTTTTGATGGCATTTATTCATATATTTTTCAAATTGGTGTAATATTTAATTTCTTTAGATACATTTAAATGAGTGATATGTTTTAATTAAAAATTTTAATAATTCCAATATGCCAGAATTATAGCCTTGGCAATTAATTAAAATTACGGTGAAGAGATTTAAATGTCAACTTAAAATGTGTGAGACAATTTTAAAAATTTCTTAGTGGCTATATGAACAAAAATGTTTGATGACACTGCTCTAAAGGTTGTTTCTCAATCCAAAGGGTTGTTGAACCTACATTGAGACTTTTTGTGGTTTTGGGTCTGTGACAAAAGGTCTGCCTTCAGTGTTAGGGGCCAGAAGGTGACGATGATACCAGAAGAGATTCCTGGTGCACTGGTTGGGAATATTCGTCAAAAAACAGATGGCATTTTCCAACTCTTGGTGTGTGTGGCCAGAAGAGTTGGAGAAAATACAGTGTTAATGGGCCTAAGGACATAGGTTTGGTTTCTCCTTTAGCCATTTAGCTTTATTTTCTCCACGATCTGGAGATTTACCCCAGAGCCAACTAGCCATCTTGTACAAGCCATGGGAGGTAGTCACAGAATTGGTGGGAAGGATGCAAGATGAGGAGCTGTGTGTGGATATGTGTAGGTGTCTTTACATATCTTCACCATTATTAGAAATATAATTCAGAATGTTCATCCTAATGGTGAAGAGCAGAGGATGTCATCTTTGTGTACAAAGGAATATGCATTATTGTATTCCAGGGGTGCCATGAGGTCTGTCAGGCATTCTGTGCAGAGGACTCAGCCAAGTGGACGAGACATAGCAGATGGAGCTGTGCACTCAGAGGTTTTACTCTGGGGGAGAAGAATGAAGACATATATAGCTGGAAAACACTGTTATGTGGTAGCAAGTGTACATTTATTGTAGAATTTTATACATATAAGGAGGTTTCAGTTTGTGATTTGCGATAGTGGGGAGCCTTTGAAAGCCTCTTTTAGGGGATAGGAATAAGCCATAATTAGAACAAAAAAGAGTTACTGAATCAATATAGTCTGGCTTACTCTTTCCCTCTGTTGTCACGGAGGGATATAATGAGGAGACGTACCGTATGGGCTTCCCCCTTGTTGTGGATCAGCCTTCCTTTATTCCTTGATTCAGGAACCAGAGAGTACTTCCTCTGTCCAGTCCTTATGTTTAACGTGGCATCTTCCACGTTGTTTGAGCACCTGCTCAAAAGAACCTAGTCCCTGTGTTTGTCTGCTTACAAGAAAGAATTTGGGTATGTTAATTATTTTTCTTCAATTATACTTATATTTTAATTATTTTTTCTTCAATTATACTTATATTTAGTATATGGGAAAGAAACCAGGTTCATAAACTATTTCTTGCATTCTCCTGCTTTTGTATTCAGATTCAGTTCCATTTCTGTTACATAATCACCTGGAAGTGGCTATTTGCAGATTTTTTGTTATTGCAGGTTTTGGAAAGGGCTCTAGGGAAAAATTCAAATGTCAAATACTTTTGCTGTGCTATATTTCTTATTTTTTCTTTTGCCATTGATTGACTGCTTTTCATGTTAAATATATTAACATTCTGATAAATAATTACTAATATTGTTTTCATCAGTGTATACATTGGTAATGATAGCTCAAATCAGAAGAAAATTGAAACCTTGAGAGACCTATAGTTGTATTATCTTTTTTTTTTTTCTTTGCCGTTGGTTGCTCTGAGGACTTCTTGTACAAACTAAAGTCCAGATGTCACATGAGTGATTTCAGTGACTCTAGTGACTGCATTCAGTCATGCATAGGGCATTCTGGGGAGAAACCCAGGATAAAACACTTCAGATGGAATTAAGGAGTGGTCAGAGGCATTGCTTATCTCTGCCCGGGCTCTTTCATGGAGCAGATGCCCACTCTTATTGTTGATACGGTGAGCAGCTTTAGCAACAGGGACAGGAATTCATGCGGAATGCCCAGTGAGACTCTGTGTCAGGGGTGGAGGAAGGCCCACGGAGCCGTCCTGGGCAATGGTTCCTGAACTGGTTAGTAGACAGTTGGGTGAACATCTTTCCACCTGCCTGCCCTGTGTCTTGTTTTGGTCTTGGGAGTGAGTTTTAACCGTCCTTATCTTGCTCCAGGAGGAGCCTGTACCCCCACTGTCTTTGCTCCTCTTTTCCTTCTTAAACTTCAGGCCTCACACACGTCTTCACAGGGTTGAATACAACCTCTGAATTAGTGAGGCCATAACGGTGTCCCTCACTCAGGAGGCCGTCGGTAGCTCAGGCTCTGCCTTAGATGGGGGCTACCATCTCCATGTCCTCCTTGTTTTACAAGCAAAAGGCAACTCAGGATGTTCCCTAATAGTGACAGATTTGGTAAAATATCTCCACCAAGACAAGCTGCCACTCACAGTCACTGACTCCATCGTTCGCACTGGTTCTTCAACCAAGTGATAAATGAGACCTGGAAGTTACTGATAAGAACTATTAGTAGTAATAACATGAAGTGTTTTCCATTCTCTGACATCCTTCTATTTACCCTCTCACCTGTGGTTTGGGAATCAAGTGATGTAACCAAAATAACCTAGTCATTTATGGGCTTTTCGGAGCTGATGTGTGTGTTTTGTGAGGCTGTCACCAGGCTTCCCTGGCAGGGAGCCCTGGGCTGAAGCCCACCTGGAGGTACCACAGCTTCT